CTGAAATGTAATTATTCTTAATAAGTGCCTGTTAATTTCACAATATTTTTAAGATGTGTCGCTCAAAAAAATCTATCAGCTTAAAACTGGTGAATTTGACCGGAGTATCTTTTGCCAATATATTCAAAAGGACCTTTGTTTTAATATATAATTCTATTATATGGTGTACTTAATTCGAGTTTATAATGAATCAGCATAATTTCATGTGGAACATAAAGCAAATTTAATCATAACAGAAAAGATCTGAAAGAAAAAAAAGGAGACGGAAAAATATAAAGTACCATTTCTTTGATTAAGTTTTGAATTATCTGTCCAAATGTTCAACATAAAAATTAAAACTTTCGTCACATTTATATGAGATTTGAAGAAAACATTTTAAAATGAAAACTATATTTGGACATAACTTACAAAGTGTCTTCTAACAATCTTCGAACTATTACCCATGGAATTATGCAAAGAAGAGGTGAACCTGAATAGAGAAAAGGGGAATATGTTAATTCAGTATTTTACATCCCGTTGTAGATGATCTTAATTAAAATAAAGGAAGAAAATAGTTATATATACTCGAACATCTGTAGAGTTATTTTCACTAATATATTCAACAATACTATGTATTTATAAAAAAAATGATTTTTTTTTAGATGGAACCATTTTGCCTGTCCCTTATTATGTAAGTATGAATTTCTGTATAACCTAGTAAATTGTATGTAAATCTCCAACAAAACACATTCGTTTTTACGTATGTATATAGAATTTTGTTCGTCTTTCAATATAAAATATAAAAAGACATCGAACAATTTTTTCAAACTCAAGTCCATTCACATAATATAAATCATGAGCATGCATACATGTAGCAAGCACAGACCTCTAAAACATAGAGTTTGGATTATGTGTTATTTCGGAGTAAGTATTCCCTGCCTTATAATCGGGAAAATAACGGGAAAATCCTTTGACAATTAGTCTTGTAAATTTGTAGAAAAAAAAGTTACTCAGCGTTTGATTTTTGAAATACATGTAATGTATTTGCTCACATGGTCATAATTTTTACGATAGAACTTTCGAAATAACGACTTTAAATAATATGTTGATATTCTTATTAAATTCAAATCACTTTGCCCATCGCTTTCAATGAATCAGTACATTCATCTATTGTTGACAAACTATCCGATCAAGACAAGGCGAAACATGTGGATGAGTTTGCCTAGAAGTGCATTCGTGGAGTTTCTCTGTTGTCAGAGGTCAATCTTGGCGCTTAGTTCAAATTGTTTTCTTACAGTATATTTGAGTTTTATTTCACTTCTCGTGCATAATTTGACTGCTTTCTTTATCAAATGAAGGATCCTGATTCCATTCTGTTATGTCCGGAGTTGTATCAAACATTTATCTACGACTATTGTTCATGAAAATTGACTATTTCTTCTCCAAACGCGAGACACAGAATGTCAAAGTCAGATGTCCTCAGATGAGACAGAAAAATGAGGTCCATCATCATCACATCCTTCACTGCTACAGTTCCCTTGAAAGGTCAAACTCCTGTTGAACTTAACCTTATATGACTTCTCTATAAGCGTTAAATGCTTCCGAATAGAAAGCTTTATACATTAATATAACCAATCAATATCCTTTGTATTACCATTTTGGTTTCTGTTACCGTGTATATTTCTCTATGTAAATCCTTGGAACAAGGTGCATGCAAACGTTTTTTTTTCTGTTTATCAGTTATAATGTGATACTAAGTTGTTTCCTATATACGTTTAACCTTTGTTCCTTTTATTTAATCTTTTAGAAGTTTCTACTTCTGTTTGACCTGACAAAGATAACCTCAGGTGACCCAAGTGATTCATAAAAAAAAAGCTAAAAAGAATATCAGAAGTTCCGTTTAAAGAAATCATTTCGTAAGTTCTATGCCTGATACTATGACCTTGTCAGGAAATACAATTTATAATTTGTACCCACTGAATAGATGACGGGTTTCTCCATTATTTCCCGATCATGATAATGAGCAAACGGTGTGAACGGTCGGTAGAGAAAACTCACTTTTCTATGGCACCGATATCACCTCTGATGTTTTGGAGGTCCATGTTTGCTCTGTCTCTTTTTGAATTGGTTTATGGACTTTTGAGCTTGGGTATTGTTCTTTATCTCCGTTTATTTTATTTCATAAGTCCGCACCAGCTTAGACACTATTTCTAATAGAGATTTTTTATCGTTTCAATCTAGAATATTAATTAACATTTCTGTAAGCACCAAAACTGTTTTATTTTCTCTCACATCGCATATGTGTATTATTATGCAAGTTATAAGCAAAGTCACGTTTTGCATTCCATAAAAAAACGCTTTCATTCAGCACAGTGAATGAAATGTGGAACTCTATTTTGTCAGTGCTTTTAAAACTTTATATAAAAAGTTCAATATTTTCAAAGTATATAAATGAAAACGTTTCTTGATAAAAAGGCAGATGATGGCAGAATGGCTTCCCATCCAGTGATAAGAAGATTTCCTGTCAGAAAAAATCAATGTTATTTTAAAGTTCGCATTTCACCTGAACTTTACATTTGCCTAATGATATTCTTAATTATAGCTTTCCCTTTCCTAAGCAGGCTTAAAACTTCCTTCTTTGGAAATTCTACGATTTAAAAGTCAGATCAATTGATAAGGCACATATTAATTTGAAGCTGAGGAGATTGTCTTTCTTGAAATAATACTCACACCAGCCAAATATGATATACATGAAGAATCGCTTGCTGTTCTTGAAGGTCGTGACGAAGATTATATTGTGAAGGAATAGTCCCTCTAGAAAAATCCATGTGTAGTTTGCAACTATGATGTAATTAAATATTGAGAAAAGCAATTTACACGGCCAGTTCTGAAAAAAGTATAAACAAAGAGCTATATTTTATATATAAATATTGTCATCTGTTTTTATGCATTTTTGCTGATACATGTACAAATTCTACACCTTTTTATATAGATACAGAGCCTATACTTTATCAATCCCTTCAATGTGTAATATCTTTTTTTTATTTCATCGTTTGCAAAACAATTGTGCTTTAAACTTGCTGAATTATGATAGTAAACTATATTATGCATATCAAAATATGCTACGGTTTTTTGTTGGCTTCAAGGAATTAGCGAACACAAATCAAGTGGAAATTATTAACTGGAAGAAATTTAGATAAATGCTTGTGCAAGTGAAATGTTCAATAAGATAAAAAGATATGCCGCGGAAAAAGGGCGTTGACTTTGCTAAGGAGAATAAGATATAGCTCACCGATCCGAGGGTGGTTAAGGTCACTGTATTATTGATAACTCTGGTGTCACCGTCGGGCGTGTGGAATACATCCTTGACGAGGCAGATAATGGAACGCAGAACGAACGAAACGAATAAATTAATATGAATGTAGTTCCTCTGACAATGTAATCTCCTGCAAAATAATATATCTATCATTTATTTCTGTCACTGCAATGACAAGCTATTTTAAGAGATTTTAGAATGGCATGGTCAGACACGAGAATGGTGCCTTCTTTTTGTGACGTGAGAGTAAAGATTCTTACTTTAAGGACAACATCACCACGACAGCCACACTCAAAAAGGTCAAGGACACGGAGTAGCCGATCATATTTAATCTCTCAATCTTTGGCAAATCCTCCTTAATAAAAAAAAATAATTAATCAATGAACACACGTAACAGCAGTCATGAACTAAATTTGACCTCTTAAGATAATATTTTTCCTATATATCTCAGTGAGACACTAGTATTTGAGTTTTTTACCATTAGAGGATCGGTAGGATTGTACGGCCGCATGCATTGGGTAAAGTCAGTCCATGTTGCATTCGTCTCTGGATGAATGAACCATGTACCATTAAATAGACATTCTCGCCGAGCTTTCTCTGAAAAAATAGGAATTTAAAAAATTGGAAATCTTTTCAGTCGGAAGCAATTTCCCTTTCAGACTTAACGTTCGTTCTTATCTTAGACACCTCTTCAATGATTTTGAATTAACAATTTTCACTTAAGAAAAAAATGGATATTTCAATGTTAATTTTTTTTAAGATAACATGTAAGAGATGTACTTTATAAAAATATACAACCTTATAAAACAAACATGAGTGCAGGAATTTAATTATAATCAATTGAGCCATTATTTCTTGTGCTTAACACTGCGACATACGCGAGTCCACGACAGAGGTGAATGAACGGGTCGATGGTAGAAAGACCAGGAAATATTTTCAGTAAAAACAGTTAGATCGTGAGGCCCTAATTATACATTGTTTACCGCGTTTTAGCGGCTCGGTGTATAATCTTATTTGTTCAGTTTTATTCTACCATCTCATCTCTTCATAAAAAAGTGTAAAAATAAAACAGATATTTGTAATCTTGACAATATCAAAGGGACCATGGCTTATATTTCTTCTACCTCTTCAGCAACAAGCACAAACCATGTAGCTGGTCTACAGGGGATGCTTACTATTCCACGGCACTTGATCTCACCCTCTGATGTTCTAAGAGGTTGAGGTTTGTTCTGCTTCTGATTTGTATTGTTAGGATTGACGTTTGAGCTCTAACAGTATTCGTACTCTCCACGAAACATATGGAGATAACGAACAGTATTCAAGATCAAAGTCCATAAAACAATACAAAATAGGAGCAGAGCAAACACGGACCTCTTAAACATCAGAGGTGGGATCAGGTGTCATGGAGGTGTGAACATCCCCTGCCGACCGGTCACACCCGCCGTGTGCTCCTTGTCATGATCGAGAAATAACAGGAAAATCCGTCGTCAATTCAGTGTATAAGTAATGGACTTACAATCAATATGGAAAACGTGAGTCAGCACTTGACTCAATGATAAATTGTATTTTCTAAGTATACGTTTTGGTTTTAATCAACGTATATCGGGATAAGATTTGACCAGAAAATATATAAAAAAAAATGTTTTATACCTGTGGTATTTATCATGTCCAGCTCCCGAAAAGCATATATACAATACTTTTAGAAGTTCGGAAGATTTTGTTGAACAGGGATTTTTTTTCACGATACACAAAGTTTGATAAATAAAGAAGGGAACACAGGGGGGCTGACACACATACAGTTCTGAATCCATCCTTTTAAATTGCTCCGCTAGAGTAAAGACCTGTTGATAATATTGGTTGTATACCTTGTGTGTTAAAATTGTTAATATAGTCCGGACAGTTTTGTTGTAGTACGATGCCCGCTCTCGTGTGTGGCCAACACATAAGGTTGTCGAAAACTGAAGGGCAATACTGTCCTGAAAATAACAATATCACTTTATATGCGATGTATTCTAGTCTCATTTTAGTAAATTTTAGTTTAAAAATACGGACTTAATTGATTTTGATGTCATTCAAGTCTCTTTGAAATGGCTATTTACTACTATTACATGTATGTTAAAACTTTTATAGAATATCAAAAATAATTGGAATACCTTTCAATTTTTCATCTAATGGTGCCGTAGAGTTTAGACATTTTATCATTGCCTTTAGTATTAGCACATGTTGACTTTCAGCTGCAACCTTTACTGTATATATTTTCTGGAAGAAAAGAAAAAGAAATACAATATATGTAACGCCACTAAGAATTTTGACATTTATTTATTTTTCGATTTTTGAAGTGTTTTTCTTTCTTTTGTATGAATATATTGATATTACGAACAGTATTCCAACTCAAAGGTCCATTAAGCAATACAAAACTGGAGCAGAGCAAATACGGACCTCAGAAGAAATATCAGACAGGGGATCAGGTGCAATGAATGAGTAAGCATCCTCTGTTTACTGGCCACACCTGCAGTGTGCTTCTTATCATGATCGGTAAATAACGGAAAAAAACCCCGTGGACATGGTAGTGTGTATCTAATGTGCTTACAATAAGTATGAAATCATCAGTCAACATTTGACTGAATGATGAATTGTATATGTTTACGCGACATATTTTATTCAAAATATAAAAATAAAAGATCACATGACACAGACGGGATACTGTATTTACTTTGATGTGCACAACTGAATGAATTTTATATAAACTTAAAGTGTAAAATATCGTGAAGCTATTTAGAATAAAAAAAAATGCAACGAACATATCAAATTTAACTATTTTGTCAAAATTAAAAGTTATGACTAGGTTTTAAAATACAGAAAGGTAAATTAATAACAATTTACGCATGTTACTAACATGTACTTCTGTGATGGTAACAGTTTCAATTAATATGAACGATTTTTTTATCGATTACCGTAAATTTTCATTAACTAAATTCACTATACTACTCTTGTTAAAAATGCAATACAATTTTTTTTTGTTTATTTCTCGTGAAATGAAATAAAACTACGTATACATGTAAGGTACTTCATTCGAAATGAATTTATATTATATTATATTATATTATATTATTGCATCGAATAAAACACTTTCATAAAAAGAAGAGAAAAAAAAATCATATTCCATACAACTAACACAACGCTGTGTGGGAACGCACTTTGAAAAAATTACGCACTTTGAAAAATTTTATCAAAGTGCGTCAAAATTGGGATAAAATCAACGCACTTTGAAAAATTTTTTTCAAAGTGCGTTAAGAGTCTCCATCAATATATTTCACCATGGAGACACTTAACGCACTTTGAAAAAAAAAAATCATATTTTAGTCATGGAAAGATTTTATTTGTTATTTATCTTTCAAAAAACTAATCCTAACCCTCACCTCAAAAATGAATTGATTTACTCCCGTCGAAAAGAGGAGAAGACGGGTATAAGATCCTTCAGTCCAAATCTTTATCTTTCCAATACATAGGTGTCGGTAACAAACGGGGGAGGGGAGCAATAAACCTAAAAAGGGTACGCTGCATTTTCAATGCTTATACGATGTATATATCTTTCCAAAATAAGTTAAAAAAAATCCCCTCCCCTGGCCCTTCGCCCAGTCTCGATGTCTTCGCTATACTCAAAGCATTCATATAATTATGTATTTACCTAACTGGTATGACCTTGAAAACTTCCAATAATAAATGAGTTAATTAAAACAGATTAAAGCTAGAAATTTTTAAGTACAGTAAAACGTATGAGAGAGAATGAATTTTCATAGTTTTGAACAATCAAATTGGCCCCTTTTTATTACGATAAATGCTAAGTTGCTTGAAGCTATCCTCTGTTAGTGACATATACACCTTTACATCTACTTATCAAAGACTTGAATTAAAAAAAAAAGAAGAAACGAATTAATGAACATAAACAATCGTCACTCAAGACCCTTTAATTTTCACTTTTATTTTATCAAAACCTTAAATATTCAAAACGTCAATATCTCAGGTCCTACAGTGACTTTATCATAAAAAAATTATCAAACCAGGATCTGTTATTTATCATACCGATTATTTGAAGGAATATTGATCAATCTTTACATTTTTTTCAAAGTGCGTTAATATGGTCGATATTAACGCACTTTGAAAAAAAAATTATTTTTCAAAAAATTTTTTGAAAGTGCGTAATTTTTCAAAGTGCGTTGTAACAACGCTGTTTACATGTATATGTTTTCATTGAAGTGAAATTCAGAAATTGCTTTTGAAGAGAAGACATAAAGCACAAGTAAGATTCAATAGAACAAAATCTTTTGCTTAACTGAAAAGCTTTTCTGCATGAAACACATCATTTCTATACATATACATGATTTCAATAACCCTACGTTTAAAATGAGATAAAAGGTTATAAAAATACTGAATTTTCATTTAACACCATAAGAAGTTCTTCTGGTATTATTACAAGTGGGTTTTCTTGCGTATAAACTATTCAGTGATTTATTTTTACATTTTTGTCAGATGAATAGAGAACTAAATATTCAAAACTATTTATAAAGAAAAATTGAAAGTTGGGGACACTTGAACTTTTAACATTTCAGTTAAACTTGTATGTGTTGGTCTATATAAAACAACCAGATGGTAATATTATCGGGGATCGACCTCCGTACACTCTAATGACAGAAGAGGTCATAAGAGTTCTATATGCATTTTTTTGTACTAACTATGTTTTGATCTTCGTACATCAAAGTTATATGCAGTAAAATATATGTACTTTTACGAAATAGTGCATTGAGTTTTCCCTCGATATTTCTGATGGTTATATTCCAACATAAAGGCAATTAACACTAATGATACATGCACATTATTATAAACCAATATTTCGCGACATTCGTTACAATTACACGTGTTTTCAATCAGTTTTCCTTACCTTTGAATATGCTTATAATCAATTACGGATTACTTACAACTGAAAGTAGTAAAGAAAGAAAACTGCGATGAATTTACTCTGAAAACTACGTGTTATTTTCTTTTTGTATTTTTCCAATATCTTAAGCAAAAGAATAATTATTGGGTATAATTTGTGTAAAAGTTTGATTTATAAATATGCGTTCTAAGGACGTTTATACTTTAAAGCATTCTTGATTAAGTGAGGCATGTTTTTATTTCTTCCGTAAAATGCCGTTTTACTTTTCAAATTTTAGTATATTATGCTGATTTCGGGGGATAGTAACCTGTACATTGGTTTCCAAATGATTTTAACTAGGGGACTTAGTTAACATTGTTTTCTTTTTTACTAAATTAAATACCACATTTTTTTTATGATTTGAAAAAAATAAAAGAACAGTATGTATGAAACCAAATCAACGTCATTATTATAGACACTAAGTCATTGATTAGATTTAAGAGAGCTAAATAAAAGCGAACATATGGACAAACATAAACGGAAATAAGTTTAATGTAAACTCTGGCAAAGACTTAAGCCTGACCAATTGGTTTCAAAGGCTTGACAGATAAAGATATGATTAAAAAAACCATTAGATCATATATGAAATACAACAAAGATTAAAAACAAAAGTTTGACTTAAATATGACAAATGTGTTGAATGTCTTCTAAAAATAACATTCACATTACTTATTGACTTGAGTGCATGCGGAGAATTTTTTTATTTTAAATTTCAAGCATAGTTTATTCTTCACACAGTTTTCTTTACTATATCTTATTTTCATGACAAATCAATACTCCGTATATAGAGTTTGAAATGAAGAATTATACTTTCAAAGAAGGATGTTGCAAAGCAGTATCTTAACCAATCTTAACCAATAATGATAATATTTCTGTATTTAATGTGTTTTAAATACACATTATCTGTAAAATCATTTTGTTAAAATATAAGCAAACATCCAAAGAAGTTTTAGAAATGAAAACATTATACAAGTAAATAAGTACGAATAACGAATATCTTTCTCAATAAGTTACGTTTAATTAATTTTCTAAAGATATGAATAAAAATATAAACATTCAAGTATTTTGTCAAAGACATATTTGCTTTAAGAAATAAAGAGCAGGATACATGAACTTATAATTTGTTTCGTTAATCATGTTTATATTGGTTAAAAGCAGTCTGTTTGTGTCTTTGTAACTGAGCTTTCCCCAGACAATCTGCCATCACATGCGTTCATCGTAGTATTCTATATCATACGTGTTATTGATTTGTCTTTAATCAAGCATAATTTTGTAAACAACGAGCGCTTTTTCCGAATATATGCACCGAGTTATCCCTTCATATCCCTGATGCGTCTCCTTGACAAACAGACAACTAGCTGCAATCAAAGATTGATAAAAATTATCTTCTGTGACTAGATTTTCTTTTTCCGCGAATAGATATATGAATCAATTACTAGTACCCTAACTTTGAACTTGCTGTTCATTAATTATCAACAGACAAGATTGCTTTTATAGGCGTTGTTTTTGTCAATAATGGATTAATTACGGTTTGAAGAACACGTAGCCTATGTACCGGTCAGTAATTGTCACCGGGAGTGCCAGATTGAATCGCCATTGACGGATATTTTTTGTTGAGAAACAGCTTAAATGCAGTGGTGTATCGCTGATAAGCGTGATTCTTCGCGGGCGAACACCTTAGAACAATTGGCTGCGCAGTGCTTAAGATCAGATCGTGAAATATGAATACCAAGTCAGTTTTTTGTTCTCGGCTTATCTCAATGATATTTGTGTTATCGTGTCTTTTTCGCTGTGTTTGCTTGAATGGTGCATTAAAAATAGCAACTGAACATTTTTAGAAACTTGTAAGAATTTTTAGACAAGTCGGCTATATTTGATCAGAATTTTATCTCAATGACAAGTGCAAATATTTGTCAAAAAAGTGACATTTGACCTCTGTATAATCTCTTTAGATATTAGCAGGCTATTGGGTTTTTTTTTTTATTGTGAAGTGGCTTTATTTTTTGCATGAGAAATGATTAAAGATCTAATGAAAAGCAAATTTTCCCTAAAGCCTTTATAAACTCTCGAGACTCCTGTTCTACCTTTTGAATTATAAAGTATAAGGCTTAGCTTATCTGAAAAGAGATTTTACAAAAAATAAATAATCTTGTATTTGCCTTTTTTGATCGAAGTCAATTTAAAAAAAATGGGTAAAGAAATAGAGTTAAAAAAAAGAAATAAAACTTAAATTTATCTTTAGAATAAGCGGATAATTTTAATAATTTTAATGAGAGAGTTATAATTTAAATGAAATGAGAACACCTTCTGAAGAGCGATACTCCTGATACGACCTGAATATTACTTTGAGTTAAGCCTCATACATCATCGGCTGATGCTATCTAGCAACATGTGGTGTGCAGGAAGAATAAAAGTGTAAAAAATGAGGTATTTAAAATTTGTGAAATATGTGAAACAATTATTGGGTTAGGTTCACCATTACATTCACTTTAAATCTAGCGCGTATTTATTTTAACTTAATATTTACTGTGGTTTCATTAATTTTCGTGGATTTTTGAAACAGACGTTTTCGAGGATACGTAATTTCATGGACTAAAGCATTGCCTATACAAATGAATAACAAATTTCTTAATTCAATGAACATTTAAATTCGTTGATCTGCTAAACAATGAAATCCTCGAAAATTGGTGCTCAACGAATATAAATGATTTTTTTTTTTGGTATTTATTAACACAAATGGGAATAATTTCTAAGAGGAGTGATTTTGAAGTGACAGCTCAGAACGTATATGTTCATTCCTCTGTAGACAATCTAACAAGTACGGACATCAGTCCCATTTCAAACTGACGAACTTCAGATGACCACCTCCATCAGTTATCAGGAAAACGAGATCTAGAGGTCATATAAAATGTCCTCTAGTGATTTCAGCTAATATCTTGATTTGTTATAGATTATACGGCCATGCATACATGTGTAAGGTTTGAACAAAGACAAGGGGCAAATGACGGTCACTGGATACGACTCGATCATTACCGACATTGTTTCTGGTTCTGGTTGTTTCTGATTCGTATCTTATGCCTCCAAAGATCTGTGATATTATCCACTGAAGCGAAGTGAATGGAACGAAATGCATATTTTTATCCATATCGCATTTATAAAAGCACACAGATTACTGACAAAAAACACGTGGCTGATGTGACAGGTCAACAGGAGATGCCTACCACGTCATGGTACCTGATCCTACCAAATTGATTTTTTTAAAAAAAAAAAGTCCTGCTACAATTTGTATTATACTATTAACTTTGTTTTTTGAGAATATTCACTTTTTTTCATCTTCACAACTGATGAACATATAGATTATTTTAACTGGTTTTAAGGAATAGAAACTATTTCTCGTTATATTCACTTCTGCTAAAGATTCGTATAATTTAATTTGAAAATTCGAGATTGAATACATTTATCTTGACATTTCATTATACGTACTGTATTACGTTTTTTGGTTAACGACAAGACTTGTTCTCTAATATCGGTTGTTTGTCTTTCGTTAAAATATTTTACATTTGAATTGCTAATGCGGTTGGTGGTACACAGTAGCAATTAGCTAGAGCCAGATGCGTCCTGAAAACCGGTATCATTTCCTCAAAGAATTTAGTCAACTCATCTGCCCCACTGCGCTCTCCATCATTTAATATATAGATGTATATATTTTTCAATTTAAATAGAACACTGCTTGTTTAGATATGTTTAAAGATATTTTTGATTCATTTAGTCCAATGCATTTAGTTTTAGAAATTTGTTTTTCTATATATTAAAAAAAAATATTAATTATGTTTTAAAGGCCCTGAGGAATCTTGATTGTACCAAGAATGTTTTCAGATCGTGACAAGGAGCACACGGCGGATGTGATCGGTCGGCAGGGGATTCTCTATCGTCCATGGCACCTGATACCACCTCTGATGTTTTATTTTGGTTTGATCCTATTCTGCATTGTTTAATGAATTTTTGAGTTTGAATACTGCTCCTTATCTCTACATATTTGATTAATTTTATTGTTAAAAGATTTTACTTTACAGTGACGTTGTTTTGTCTATAATTAAATTTTTATGAGTTATTTCAAATAGGAATTCAACTTGTTTCGATATTTTGCTATTTATCCAAAAAAGTTTAAGACGTTTTTTTTTCGAGATTTGTGATAAGTTTACAGCTTAAATATTTTTTTAACAAAAATGTTGTAAGAGATCAGTTTAATATCTTTACCATAAGCATAACTGTTTTATATAAGAAGTGCATCAGGAAAATCGACAGCACAAAAATGCCCCCAACATCTGCAATATGAAAAAAGCTGTTTTGTCCAAATCTACACCGAAACAAACAAAAAATGGGAAAAAACATTTAAATTCACTATTTTTTTAACAGAGTAATGATCAAATGTAAACTCATATATATGTATAAAAGAATGTTTTGTTTTTGTATTTATGAGGCCACATTTGAATTTATATCAAGTAATGTATTAACCTTTTTTTACTTTTTACATCATTTTATAACGAACATGTTCTTTCAATTTTTATCTGATTTTATGACATGACTGTGCAGAGAATTTTTTATTTTTTTCTTTTGTCCAGTTAATTGTGTCTGTGACATCTTCGGTATTTTTTTAAAGGATAGGTGAATGTTAAAAATTGGTAATTGTTTTCTAATTTAATTTGGACTTTGAGCATGAATAATATATACCAATATATGTTAAAGTACATGTACTAACTCGTATTTCGTATTGTAAAATTGGCAATCTCATTACATAAGTTATTGCACACAAATGTTCTTCAATGTATTCCCTTCAGGCAAGAAATAAATACAAGACGAAGAACATTCAGTAAAGAAAACTCTGCCTGCGAATGAATTCCACTTGATCGACTTACTAATTATATCAGAAAGACATGCATTTCCCTTTTTAGGCAATTATAGGTATACACTCAATACTACATAATTGGATAAATCTGATATCTGCTTAACATCTTAAAGCTAAGTGTTCTTAATAATTTCCGCAAAACTCAGGTTCTATATTTACCCAGCCATGTCTTTAGTTTTAAAGATTCATGAAACATTCATGTTTTAACATTTTTCAATTCTTTATCTGTAAAAGATATGTGATATCTAGTTAGAGGGAAACAAGAAGTATATTTTCTTTATGTTTCATTGTAAGGGTCTTACTTCCTTAAAGATGAATTTGGTTTAACTTTTATTTAATATTTTATTTTATTAATTTCAAATCTGAATTAATATTGAAAAAAAGATGCATCTATATAACTTGAGTTCCCTCTCCTCAAAGTGATTTGATGAAAATCTTTGTTAAGCGAAAATGATTAAGCGAATGTAGCTGTTAATTTGATGAAAATACAAATTGGCTTAGTAAATTAAAGGTTTTAAATTTGAAACTTTTAGCCTTTAAGAGGGATAAATATTAATCAGGAACAAAATTCAGTTGGATAATTCTTAAAAGTAGCAGAAAGCAGTTAATGAAAACCAAACTATTATTTTATCCACGATTAATTTATTTTTGCGTGATATCACGAGGTAGTTTGCTCGGAAAAATTCTTTTTCGCGAAGGATATATAATCATACATGTTTAGAACAATGCATTAGTAAAAAAAAATGCCTCTTTCAAAACAAATCATATACCTCTCGCAAAATTATCTTATCGCTTAAATTTATTGACATATAATAGAAAATAAAACTATTTCACATTTTCAATTTCGTTTGTATGATACTCCTTTTCTTTTATTTGACTATATTCAGATGCCGCCATTAGTTCATTAGTTTAGACATCGTTGCGGAACTGTGAGAAGTTAGAAATCCTATCATTAGCAAGTAATGCGACAAGATCTATATTAATGCCGTCCTAGTATAGGTCTAGTCTCTTCATCCTGCAGTGGGTACCACAACATAAGGAGGAACTCCTCCCTATCTATTGCAATGGCTCTATCCACTGAGCAAAACAGACAAACTTTCTAAATGATCAATTAATCTTTATATTTGCTATGCAAGTCTTTTTCTCAATTTAAAATTTAAACATTTATATAAAAAATCAGCCCTTACCAATAAAATATTTTTAAAAAAATGAAATAAAAATGAATGAAATAAAAAAGCGACTTACTGGATCTCTGTAACATCCTCTTCCAAGTACTGTTTGTCCAGGTAAAAATATCACGATTGTCACAAAACTCACTAACTTAATTAAACCATCCATTCTTTAATCAGCGGTTATACTTCGTTTATTATGGTGTCGGAATTGTTTTAACTTGGGGATTCAGAATGCCTCGCATTCCTCTTCTCCGTACCTAATAAATGATATTGTCTTTTAATTAACTTTTTATACTCCCATAAGCACTGGAAAGCGCATCTGACAGAAGATAAAGTCCGTATAAAATGTTACCAATAATTTGGAATTATGTAACAATAATCGCGAAGCAGTGTCATTGTCTGTATCCCGGATGTTGCGTTATCAATAACATGGGCGATAAATTGATATAATGGTCCAGGGCTTCTGTCCGTATCTCTGCAGCATTCACATGGCATATCGCAAGTGATTCTCTTTTGTTGCTGTTGACTTAGAAGAATAAGATCTTGTGCTGTTAGTTTCTTTTTCTGAGTCTGATCTGTTCTTTTTATAGATCCGCGATTAATATTCCTTGTGTAATTTCTCGATATGATCTGCTGCGCTGAATGGACAGCGTCTTCCTTATATATGCTTCAGGTCCAAACAGAATATTATTTGTTGTCTCTTTAAGAGACACAGACAAATTAATGATAATTATGCATGGAATTCAAGTTTTTAGACATTTATATATAAATCCCGTAAACAGTCAATATCAGTCTTAACAAGAAGCACATAAAATTGCAACCACCTGTTACTTTAAACATAGAATTAAAAGAACGGGATATTTGAACTGCTTGCGTCTGGGGAGTTTAAAATAACAAGCAAAAATAACCCATCCTTAAGAAAATTAAATGTTCATTTAAAAACACCGTTTGCTGACTTATAGAATTTCGGTTAATGACAATGAAAATGTTATCTTAAACCCGGGTGCATAAAAATTTAAATGACTTTAAATGAAAATAGTGAAGTAAAAAAGGGGAACAGATCTATTTAATATCATTAAGAGGGGACTTTATCCGAAAAGTACAATTATCTGTCAGCTATTTGATATTTTTGCTCCGTTACATTTGCAATCCGATACTTTCTATGGTGTCTGTGAAATATTGGGACCTTTGTAAGCAGACGGGTGATATAATTAATTACGATGAAACTGTTAATTACAGTAATGCTATCGAATAAAAAATGCATTTAAATTTAATTGTCCTAGTGTCACCCTGTGAAACTTTAAAAATAACTTTGTCCCCCATTCACAATTTTTAAGGGTATACTAAAGAATTAACTGCGACCTTCTACTTTAAATTGATTGTACTCTATCAAGCGAAAGATTGATCAAAATTAATAATGTTAAGAATGGCCACTTTCCTTAAAGACCAAAATTTTTATTTTTTTTTAAAATTTCACATCCTTACGAAGTTTCAATGAAAACAAAGTTTGGCACTATAAGTAAATGTTTTGCATTGAATTTCATTGAAGGCAAAGCTGATTCGAAAACTTTGAACGGAAAAGAAAATATATGCTGTAAAATTTGATTTAAAACTACGATAGATCGAATCCAGTTGTCCTAAAATTGATATTTATTTCACTTTTTTATTGCTTCAAATATATATACATGTAAGCTTGAAACTGAAGATATCGCGCATTACATAACGTATATGGTTTCATATTTAGATATTTAACAAGAAAGATGGGTAAACAAATTTTAATAAAATTATACATACATTTTAAAATAGTTGACTTAAACATTTCTCTCGTAAACTTCCAATATTAATGTACAGAAACAATATACATGTACCACGTTTGCAAATGGATTCATGTATTATGTCTCCTAGTTAATTCAATACATAAAATCACTCTATACGTTCTGAAACTACTGACAAAAAATGATGAAACAAGAATATCAACACTTTCGAATTTGTTTACAATTAATATTCAACAAGGTTTATTTGGATATAATAATCTCTTTTTCTAATTGTAAGACCGCTATCTATTCGCTACTCTACGGATTTGTTTTCTTTACTCGATCATGACAAGAAGAACACGAAAGGTGTGACGGGTCGGCAGAGGTTACATACTTCCCCATGCTTCCCACATTCGGTGTTTATTTATTGTATTTTTAACGGACTTTTACACATAATAACTGTTCATTTCCAAGTGACCATAGTGTTCAGCTTTTTAACAACTTAAAGCTGCGATACCAAATATTTAAAAAGTATTAATGTTTGATGTATGCATTTGCTAAAGTTTTAAATCACTCGACAGTTATTCCTGCTAGATGTCTTTCTATTGATCATCAATTATGAAAATGAAAATATTTTCCACATGTAACTGAACAATAAGTAACATATATCTTGTTAAAATACAATATGGAATAATATTCTTATATACTTGATACCTTTTTGATTTTGGATACACTTGATAACAAATAAAAGGCGCTGTAAACAATACATAAAAATGTTAAAATTAAACCCAGTAGATAAGTACATATAAAACTGTAAATCATTCTCCAAGGCCATCGTTTCGTGTACATATTGACGTTTAATATGACAACTGGAGTAAATCACGGGATTAGATATACCATTGATAAGAAAAGATTTTCACTCATCGAGACGTTTTAAAGACGAACGACCGGACACTGATTCGTAAAAGATATGTCTGCTGTTTTTTTTCTAAGTGGAAGGAGGTTTACCATTAATCGTAATATGACAATAGTAAACACAAGGCTAACTTAAGTCCAGAGAAAACAATTCAATTGTGGCAACACTCAACATTTGTATAAATCCGTATTTTTCATCATTTAGATTTACTTTTTTTCAATATTAATAAAGATCATGCTCTCATACATAACCAAGATATCCTGTATAATTGTATTTCCATTACTTTTCTATAGTATAAACTGTTGTGATAAATAAAAGCTGTTTAACATGTGCATTTTACCTATTTCTTTAAAATCATTTGTCAGTTTTGAATATTTTGATATTACACATAGCCAAATTGAATTCGAACTACCTTATATATATTGGATTCCGAAACTTCATAAGAATCCTTACTAACAAAGATATATTGTGGGTTCAAGTAAATGTTCAACAAAGCCTCTTTCGTTACTCCTCCCTAAGATATTGACAATTGTGAAGGAAAAACTTCAAGAGTATTGGCAACTATATATTCTAGAAGTGATGTGAATCAGATGTGGATACTAAACAATTCTAAAGAAGTTTTGGACAATTTGAAATCACAAGATTTTACAAAAATCAACAGCCAAAAACCTTACGACTTTTCAACTTTATATACAACAATTCCTCACGACAAATTAAAGTCCAGGCTTTTTGATATCATTGACAGCTGCTTCTTCAATAAAAACAGAACTCGTACATTTACTTACCTGGTCATTGGTCATTTGCAAAATAATGTTGTTAAAACAGATTCTTTTTGCACACACAAATACTCTGAAGTTGACATCAAGAAGAGGTTTTGATTGACAATATCTATGCAGTTTTTGGAGACCAGGTCTTCAAATAATCTATTGGAATTCCCATGGGTATCAATTCTGCTCCGTTATTAGCAGACCAATTTTTGTATTCATGGGAAGCAGAATTTATGCAAAATCTATGCGTGAAAAAAGAACCACTTGCTATGACCTTCAACTCGACTTTCAGATATATCGATGACGTATTGTCAATTGACAATGGTAATTTGCATTCCTACGTCGATACAATATATCCAGGAGAGCTTGAGATTAAAGTCAAAACAAAGTGTGACACATATGTTTCATATTTGGATAATTTACTTGAAAAAGACGTTAATGGTAACCTAACAACCAAGCTATATGATAAACTTGACGACTTTAACAGTTCTATCGTCAACTTCCCTTACTTATGCAACAATATACCTTCAACACCTGCATACGGAGTGTATATATCTCAATATATCTCAGTTGATTCGATATGCAAGAGCATGCTCTACGTATGAACATTTTCTAAAACTAGGTAGATTATTGACAAGCAAGTTGATGAAACAAAAATATCAATAGTCTCGTTTAAAGTCATCATTTCGTAAGTTCTATGGTCGATACAATGACCTTGTCAGCAAATGCAATTTATCATTGAGTCAAATGCTGACTGACTTTTTCATGCTAAAAAAGTAGTAGTCCATTATTTATACACTGAATTGAGGACGGATTTTTCCGTTATTTCCTGATCATGACAAGGAGCACACGGTGTGACCGGTCAGCAAGGGATGATCAACCCTCCATGCCACCTGATCCCACCTCTGATGTTTCGGAGGTCAGTGTTTGCTCTTCTCTTATTTTGTATTGTTTTATGGACTTTGAGATTGAATACTGTTTGTTATCTCCATATTCTTCTGATTCTATCGATGCCTTTTATTACTATGTATGTAGGAAGAATGTTTCTGAGAGTTGGCAAAACTAGGAGACATGCATCTTGTGAACTAGAAACTAACTACTTGAGTATCGTTAAACGCCTTTGTTTTAATGTTAACTAATTAGTATCTCTCCTGATCATCACAGAGAGCATATGGAGTTTGAGACAGGTCAACTAGGAAAGTTCAGTCCTCCATGGCACCTGATCCCATCTCATATTTTATACGTCTATGTTGCACCGCTCCGGACTTGTATATTTTAATGAACTTGGACTTGAATAGTGTTCGTTTTCTATACATTTCATTTCTATACGGAGTCTGCACCTCTGATTTGTATCGATACGCAAAAATGTGCTCTATGAATTAACACATTTTAAAACCAGGTAAGCTATTAACGATCGAGATGCTGAAAGAAAGAATATAAGCAGTCTCGTTTAAATTATCATTTACTAAGTTCTATCGCCAATATAATGCACTTGTCATCAAATACAATTTATCATTAAGTGAAATGCTGACTGGCGTTTTTTTTCGAATAAATGCTACGAGGGACGTTCAATGAATAATGCCATTAGCTTGATGACATACAACATAGAATCATATGACATTCATCTTGACTTTCTCTCATTTCTCTATTGAATCTTTAATGAATTGATAACATTGTATGTGACCACTTTTCACCGTAGGCCTAATAAACTCACCTATTTATCGAGCAATGTTTCTGTTGTTTCCCGATCATGACAGGAAGCACACTGCAGGTGTCAGCGGTCGTCAGGGGATGCTCAATCTTCGATGACACCTGATCCCACCTCTAATAGTTTTGTGGTCCGTGTTTACTCAGCTCCTATTTATTTTTTTAAGGACCTCTGAGGTAGAATACTGTTTGTGATTTCCATATATTTCGTTAGAAAAAAATATAATAAATAGCAAGAAAGAAATAAATAGTTACAATTTGTAAGTATACAATATGTCCATTTTTTTTTCATTGCTTGGTTTTCTACCACATATTTATTTTTTAAAAAGTTATCAAACGAAATGTATTTTAATAATTAAATTTCAAAGAAAAAAGTACGATTCGAATTTCCCAACCTCCCGTATAGTTATAATATAAAGGTTTATGCTTTGCTCTTGGAGGAAAACACGAAATATGTAAAACAGGAGGTGCACATTTGAGTTATGTTAAAGAAAGAAAGTATCATTATATTTTATTTTGTGGTATAGGACAGTTTGCAGGTAGGAGATTGATTGTAATCCTTCAACATTTTACATGTACAAAGAATGGAGGGGTCAATGGTTTGTCCATATTGAAAACCCGAAATAAGTGTCAGATCAAGAATTAAAGTAGAAGGTGAA